CCATGTCATCCGGACCAGAGAGGACAAGGATAGCCCAAGTTGTTATCAACGCTCCGTTCAGAAGCCTGCATCACTGATGGTATGGGGTTGCATGAGCGCTTGTGACATGGGCAGCTTGCATGTCTGGAAAGGCACCATTAATGCAGAGAACTATGTTCAGGTTCTAGAACAACATATGTTCCCATCTAGACGTCATCTCTTTCAGGGAAGACCCTGCATTTTTCAACACGATAATGCCAGACCACATTCTGCAGCAATCACAACATCATGGCTACGTAGGAGAAGGATCCGGGTACTGAAATGGCCAGCCTGCAGTCCAGATCTTTCACCTATAGAGAACATTTGGCGCATCATTAAGAGGAAGGTGTGACAAAGAAGGCCCAAGACGATTGAACAGTTAGAGGCCTGTATTAGACATGAATGGGAGAGCATTCCTATTTCTAAACTTGAGAAACTGGTCTCTGTCCCCAGACGTCTGTTGAGTGTTGTAAGAAGAAGGGGGGATGCCACACAGTGGTAAAAATGGACTTGTCCCAACTTTTTGGGATTTGTTGACGCCATGAAATTTGGAAACAACAGATTTTTCCCTTAAAATGATACATTCTCTCAGTTTAAACTTTTGATCTGTGATTTGTGTTCTATTCTGAATAAAATATTAGATGTTGGCACCTCCACATCATTGCATTCAGTTTTTATTCACAATTTGTTTAGTGTCCCAACTTTTTTGGAATCCGGTTTGTTCTAGAATTGCGCCGCTCAAGGTGGCTGCATGTTGGAGCAGCTCTGTTACTTTCATTCTGAGATTTTGCTTTTGGAAACTTTAATTCCTGTTTTTCTGGATGTAAATCACATTTTTTGGATGATTGTTTCCTCTGGTATCGGATGCTGTGCAGCTGGAAGGATTTTTACTGAAACTTTTTTTAACTTTGGACATTTGTTATGATGCATAACCAAGGCAGCAAGGTAGTTTTCTACAACCAGCAGCTGATTAACATCTCAAAAGCTCAAATAATATCTCAACTACAACCCCAAATCTCAAACGAGTTGAAAGGATGTTCTGTGGACGCATTCTCATCTACCTGCCAGCTGTGCTTGAGTGCTTTCGCACTGACCACTGAGATCCTGGAACTAGCATGAAACACGGCTCATGACAGCGGAAGGACAGGATCATCCCTCGGCACCTACAGTTGGCTGTCCGCAACAACGAGGAGCTCGGCAGGCTGCTGAGAGGAGTGGCCATCACTCTGGGAGGAGTTCTGCCCGGCATCCGGGCGGATCTACAGCCCGGGGGAACCGAGAGGCCAGCAGAGTCTGGGTGGATGGATCGGACGGCATCTGCAGCCAGTTTCTCAGGATCCACTGTGGGATGGACCTTTACAAGAGATCCTTCCTGACTACAGCCATAATCATCTATAACATATCTTAATGAAATGAGGATAATGAACAACAAATAATTTCCCTTTGGGTTTAATAAAGTATTTTTGAATTGAATTGAATTGAATATATGTCTGTCTGTCTGTCTGTCTGTCTGTCTATCCATCTATCCATCCATCCAACCATCCATCCATCCATCCATCATTCCATCCATCCATCCATCTATATATTAGGGATGTGCGATACGGCATAAAATTAATATCATGATATGTACTGTGAAGGGTGGCAATAACGATATATACAGTACAGTATCACGATATGTTTATGGTATAAAAGTTGCAATGAAAAAAAGCATAGGATGTCCTTTTGCCATAATTTATTTTGAAAACTGCTATACCACAAAATAATCTCAATTAAGAAAATTCCACCACTAGGTCCACAGAGTTTAAATAATAAACAAATCAAGTATGTATAAATCAAGTAGGCTTCTTTCTTGTAGTGTGAAACAGTGCAAAAGATAGCAAATGTAGTTTTAGCCATATGTTTTAAACAAAAGAATATGTTGTTAACTCTTAACAATTTCCAGTCTTCTCGCTTAAGAAATGAACAGCAACAGAGTAGCATTTTACACTGAAACACTTCACTTTCCAAACCTCTAGTAGGCGTCTCCTTCTGCTTTAATGGAGAGCTGACACAAAATGGCGACCAGTTTCCTCTGTGGCTTTGACCAGAGGGTCTCGCAGTAAAATCATACAACAACGTTCTTTTCACAGATCAGAGAGCAGGTTTCTCTAAAGCTGACCAAAGCTTACTTTAACTTTCAATGGAAAAAAAAAACAACAACTTTCGATGGAACGCAGCGTTTTGCACATGCGTCCGAATATGGCAACACTATGGCAAGCCGGCCGTAGTTAGCTTGTAGCTTTGCTACTTAGCTCTCGAAGAAATGACTTTACCACCACTTACATACAGTTTTCAATAACAACAAAAAAGTATCGATTAAATATGACAACTCTAATTTTACATCAGACACAGTATTGGTATGGTATGGTATAAAGTTTATTCATTTAAAAAAAAGTACAAAACAATTCCATAATAATAAAAAAAAGATACAAAAGATTTAAAATGAAAGGCAGCAGAAAGAAGAAAAAATCTTATTATATCTGCCCCTTTTTTCAAACAATTATTTCAATCATAATAATTTTCAAGTAACAGAACAAAATGAATAACTCTTTCTAATTTTTCTAACTCTAATACAAAACACACACTAAGCTACTTCATATATACTTTTTTTTAACAATTCAGCTTTGATCTTTTTCTTAAATGTGCACATTGACTTGGCATTTTTAACATCACTCTCTAGACCATTCCACAATCCAACTCCTTGGATTGAGGTAGACCTTCCCTTCAGACTAGTTCTGAATTTTGGTTTGACAAATATCTCTATCCCCTTAAGATTATAACAACTTTGTCTTTTAATAAAATGTATTTGGATATTTAATGGTAATGTGTTA